TGTGTGGTTGATGTTGTTGCTGGCGCGTGTTGTGCTGCTTGCGTGCGCTTTTGTTCTTGCTGTCGTCGGTTATGTTGCTCTTGCCCCTGTCTCTTGTTCTATGTGTGTTCCGTTGTGTTTGTTTGGTCTGGCGTCCACGAAGCCGGTGGCCACCTCGCCGAGAGCACCCAGCACCTCGCAATCACTCTGCTCGAAAGCACCTCGCTCAGAGCTCCCAGCCAGCGGCTCGCGAGGCGCCTCAAGACTGAGTCAGGACTCGGAGCCGAGGCTGGAGGCGAGGCAGGGCTCGGCACCGAGTGCAAGGCATCGCGCTGCCTCGTCGCCACGGGCTTGCAGAGGCGCCCGCGCTCCTCCTCGGGCTCGACCTTGCAGGAGTCCAGCTTCAGATTCTGTTCCGAAAGCCTTTTCTCGAAGTGCGCGTTGTCCTCGAGCTTGCCGTTGTTCTGGCGCTTCTTGTCCTCGGGCTTGCAGGGGCCCTTCTTGTCCTCCAGCTTGATCTTCTTGTCCTCCAGCTTGACCTCCAGCTTGACCTTCTTGTCCTCCAGCTTGACCTCGAGCTTGACCTTCTTGTCCTCGGGGTTCTTGCCGTCGAGGCTCTTGCCCTCGGGCTCGCCGGCGCCCCCCTCCAGCGCGGCGGGTTGCGCCCCCCCCACGTGTAGCTCGTAGCCGTCCCGGGCCTTCCCCTCCTCGAAGTTCACGGTCTGCGCGCCCTCTGGCGCCCGCTCGTCGCGCTGCGTTTGCTTGGCGAGGAACATCGGCGAGACGACGCTCTCGTCGTCCGACCGCTCGGCGAATGGCCGGCGATCGTCGCTGTCCGACTCGACAATGGAGCGTCGCGTCCTCAGCTGGCTTGGACTGCTCGATCCTAAATGGACCACGGAAAGCGTTGCGTCCTCAGCGGGCATGGCCCGAAGAGCGCTTGCACTGCAGAGCTTGCACCCATTGCGCCACATGGCCCGCGCCACCTCGGCGATGCATCGGCGGGCCTCGGCGATGCATCGGCGATGCGGTGGGCTTGGCCTGTGCTGTCGTGGCAGCTGTCGGTTGTGCTCTTGTTGTTTGTCTCGTTGCTGGTGTGGCCTGGTGTTGCTGTTAACTGACTGGTTGGTGTTGCTGTTGTGGCTACTGTTGTGTGCGCTTTTGTTGTTGTGTGTGAGTGTGTGTGAGTGTGTGTGTGTGTGTGCGTGCGCGCGTCAGTGTGTGAGTGCGTGTGAGTGTGCAAGTGTGCGACAGAGTGTGTGCGTGTGTGTGTGTGCGTGCGTTAGCGCGTCTGCGCGCGCGCGTCGGCGCGCGTGCGCGCGCCCGCCAGGCGTTGTGGCTCGATCCTCGGTCCTCGGATCGAGGACTCAGGATCCGGGAGTCCAAGCGTGGCGATCCTCGGATCTAGGATCCGAGGTGCTCGCAAATGCTCAAGACCAAGATCCCAGATCCTCGATCCGAAGATGGAGGATGGGGCCCGCTCAAAGGCAGTCGTGGCCCCGGGGCGGCGACGAGGGAGGTCGACAATCGCCGAGGCTCGACCCTCGAGCCTCGGATGTCGAACCCGAGATCTTCGAATCCAAGCGTTGCGATCCTCAGATCCAGGATCCAAGGCGCCCAGATATGCTTGGAACCGAGATCTCGGATCCTCGATCCGAGGATCGAGCCTCCTCGACGGCGGCATGAGCGCCCGAGGACGGGGAGGGCGGCGATCTACTATCGCCGAGGCTCGACCCTCGGCCCTCGGATCGCGAACCCAAGATCTTCGAGTCCAAGCGCGGCGACTCTCGGATCTAGAATCCAAGGCGCTCGAAGATGCTCGGAACCAAGATCTCGGATGCTCGATCCTCGATCCGAAGATCGAGCCTGCTTGATGGCGGTCTGGGCCCGAGAACGACGACGGGGGTGATCGACGATCGCCGAGGCCCCGCCCTCGATTCTCGGATCGCGACCCCGAGATCTTCGAGTCCGAGCGCGGCGATCCGCGGATCTAGGATCCAAGGCGCTCAAAGCTGCTCGGAATCCAGATCTCGGATAATCGATCCGAGGATCGAGCCACCTCGATGGCTGCCTGGGCTTCGCGGCGGCGACAGCGACGATCGACGACCGACGAAGCTCGACGCTCGATCCTCGGATCGCGAACCCGAGATGTCCGAGTCCAAGCGTGGCGATCCTCGGATCTAGGACCCAAGGTGCCCGAAGATGCTCGGACTCGAGATCTTGGGTCCTCGATCCGAGGATGGAGGATCGGGCCTGCATCATTGCTCGATGCTTGATCGAGGGTTACTCGGCGAGAGGGGGGGGAGTAGTGCCCCACTGCTCGGGGCGCCACTCGCGCGCGCTCGACCGCTCGCATGGGGCTTCAAAAGCAGGCGGGGCTCGAGCGCGCGCCTCGAGACGCTCGCGCGGCACCCTCGCAGCGAAAAGCGCGGGGGTGCTCGGCTCCGGGCGCTCGCGCGCCAGGCGCTCGCCGCTCGCCGCCGCTCGGCTTTCGGGCGCCCACGCGCATGAACTTGTCGGCCTCTGGCTCGGCCTTCACGTCGGCCTGGCCCCTCTCGGGCTCGCGCTGGCCGGTGATCTCGTCGTAGTTCAAATTGGCATCGTCGTGATCTCGCGCCGGCGTGGATCTTGGCGAGCGCTTCGAAACTCAGCTTGATGCGCTGGTTGAGAAGCGTTGTCTCGATGGCGCGCTGCTGGTCGGTGCTTGCGCAGTCAAGCTTGGCGCGTTTGTCCTGGTAGCACCGCTCCTGAAACTCGTGAGCCATGTCGGCAGTGCGCTTGGGGATCCCGCGCCACTTGACGAGCGCTTGCGCGGCGGCTCTGGCGCGGCCAGGGCTCGGCGCCGCGCCGTTCTGGCGGCGCCGAGTGACGAACTGCTTGGCTGCGGGGGGGATCAACTCGAAGAGCTGCTCGGATTGCACGCCGAAGGAGGACTCCTCACCCCGCTTCTCGACGGGCTCGAACTTCTTGTTGATCGGCAGCGCGAGGGGGATGCCGGAGAGAGCCTTGCCGATGCGCTCGGCGTAGGAGCCGAAGGTGAGGCACCGGGCGCTTTCGGCGCCGAGCTCGATGTCCTTCGTCTCGGCAAGCTCCTGCGTCTTCGCCTTGGAGCTCGGCATGAGCCAGAACAGGCTATCGGGCGGCTCTCCGCGATTCTCGAAGATGTCGTTGAGTCGGTCGTCATTCTTGCAGTAGGTCTTGTCAAACAACGCCACCGCCAGCTCGATGCGCCTTCTGTCCTTCTCGTTGAAGATATGCCCGTGCTCGATGCTCTTGAGAGATCCACCTCTGTAGACCGTCTCGAGGACGGCTTGCTGGGCGCTGCTTGACCACGAGGCGCTTTCCGCCTTGAGCAAGCAAGCCGTCATTCTTGCTGCGTCAGTGCCTTGCGCGCTCGATTGGCATTGGCGCAACTCGGCAATCGCGATCATGTCCGCGATGAAGGACAGCTCGTCGAGGATATTCTCGTTCTGCTTGGCCATGCGCTCGAGGATCTCGAACGAGGTCCGGATCGCGCGCTGGGCCGCGACGTTCCTCGGGGCCTCGACCTGCTGGGTCACTGCCGGGGCGCGCTCGGCGGCCTGGGACATGGCTGAGGCCCGCGACGCACTTAGGGGCAACGATGCGGGGGGGGTGGCATTGGGGGGGGAACATCGACCTGGAATCGGCGATACATCGCCGATGCATCGGCGATGCGCGCCCGATCGTGAATCCGCGTGTTCCTGGGCAGGTTCGGGCTATTGAGCCACTCTCGGCGGTCACAGGCGATGCGGGATCGGTGTGTCCCCATTCTGCTTCTCCACCCCTATCGCTGCCCCTGGGGCGAAGAGGCTCGGCGCCTCGAAGAGGCTCGAAAGCTTGGGGTCTCGGAGACTCGGGGAAGCTCGGGCCTGGGCAGCTGCGGGGGTAGAGGAAGAGGAGAAGGAGGAGGAGGAGGAGGAGGAGGAGGAGGAGGAGGAGGAAGGGCCACGACCCGTGTGAGGGATGCGCTAAACAAGTAAATCGGTCCAGTGCTCTGTCTGCTCGGAAAACGCATGCGACATCAAAATCCAATCGGTCCCCGTGGCCCTGCCACGCGCTCCTGACTCGGGAACGGCTGTGAATGCGAGAATCCCATGGCCCTGCCGCGCGTTCGTGAGTTGGGCAAACTGAACTGGTGAGAATCCCACAGCCCTGCCACACGCTCGTGACCGCGGAAGCTGGCATGGTGAGACCGCCATGGCCATGCTCAGCGTTTTTGATGCCGCTGGTAATCAACATGAAATGCTAGCAACTTAGATTCGCAACTTCCCCCGTGGATTATCAAGTTCGGCCTCCGCGCCCTTCTCCACAATTAGATCCTGTTGAACGGGGATACTAAACATAGAAAGGTTAAAACGGGGGTCGGCTTTGTTATCGCCCGCACGCAGTAAACAACAAAAGTTGCTCAGTTCCGCGAATCGGTTCGTGCTCAAGTTGTGCCAAGTTTCCCAGACATCAAGTGACGTCACGTCGACACCCGGGTCGGCTGTGCCAAGGCTTGGCGAAGCCGGGGCACCCACTGCGGCGGCCGTCGCAGGGAGGCCGTTGCCCCGCCGAGTGAACCGTGAACACGGGAACCCGTGGAGCGAACCACGGGCCCCGCTGCCGTGAACATGTGGTCGGAATTCTTGCTTTCCTGGACGTCAGAGAAGCTGGAGCCAAAATGCAGTGCCCAGATTCGACTCCAGCTGTGCTATGCTACAAACTCCACTGACGCCTTCAGGTGAACAAGTGCAGCCTTCACATCCACTCGCATCAGTGCACGCTAGCATCATGTATTCCTCCTCCTTCCCTTTTCCTCCTCCTCCTCCTCATCATACTATTCCTCTTCCTCCATCTCCTCCTCCTCCTCCTCCTTCTCTCTCCTCTTGCTCTCCCCCTCTCTTCCCCGCATCCCCCGTCCCCCTTCCCCCGTCCCGCCTCCCCGCGCCTCACCCCTTCCCCCCTCCCTCCCCCCTCCTCCCACTGTGTGCCCAGGGCAACCCACCAGTGCCAGGCGCCTCGCGGCTCCGCCAGGGACTTCAGGTCTGCCCTGGCGAGGGAGCGGGAGGAGGCCAATGAGAGGTGGGATAGAAGGAAGGATACAGTCATCGGCCTGACCTAAGGAACGATAAATAAGGAACGAAGCCCCTTTTTTATCCCCAGGAATAACGCATAAGGAACGATAGATAACAAATAACGCATGAGGAACTGTAAATAACGCAGGCAAACATCAGGAACGACCGAGCCCCTTTTGAAATGCAAGTGTTCCTTATTCAAGCCGCTCACTGTACAGCGAAGGCAGAACCGAGGTAAAACCGGACCGGTATGAATCGGACATCTCTGAGGATCGGCGGGTTTGGGGGATGTGCCGAGCGCCGCGGCCATTTGAGAGCGTTCCAGGATGCTCTGACAGCGTTCCGGCAAGCTCTGGACCGAATTATCTCGCTTCGAGACCTGCCTGATGGAAGGACGGAGTGGGATGGGGTGTCGAGGAGGACGGCCGGGAAGAGGAGACGGGAGACGGGGAGCAGGGAGGGAATCATGCATCCTGCCATCGCTCGGGCGTCCATTCCAACTGCCGTAACCCTCCCTCGGCGCAGCACCCGTCCAAAAACCGATTGTTTTTGAAGCCGGCCAACATGCAGTTCTTCGGCGGTAGCCCTGGGGGCAACGTGAGAAAGGGGGTGGGCCTTCCTGGAAGGCTTGGAAGCCCCCCAGCCTTCCCCTCGGAGAAATTCCACAAGCCTTCCCCGAAGACGCAGAATACTTCTGAGAAGGCGCGAGGGCTTCTGAGAAACCCCGCCGCCTTCTGATAATAGAAAAAAAAACGGGAGTAGGAGGTGGAGGAGGAGGAGGAGGAGGAGCGAGGCGGAGGAGGAGGAGGAGGAGAAAAATGGCGCCCCGCGCCCGCGGAGCGCGCCAGGGGCGGCGTGGGAGGCGCCGCCGGAGGGCCCCACCGCGGATCCAAAAAATCCGCGCGGAGCGTGAGGCGCCTTCCTCCTCCTCCTCCTCCCTCCTCCTCCTCCTCCTCCTCCTCGGAGAGAGAGAGAGGCCTCCTCCTCCTCCTCCTCCTCCTCCTCCTCGAGAGGCCTCCTCCTCCTCCTCCTCCTGATCCTCGTCTTCTTCAAGAGAAGGCCCCCTGCTGTCACCTCCGAAGTTCGCCCTCTGGATCCACCGATGCTCCTCCCCGCGCCATCGGGGCGCGGAGCGCAGGGCGCCGCCCGGCGCCCCCCTCTCCTCGTGGCGCGGGGCGGCGGTCGCCGCGCCCCGGGGGCGGCCCACGGGGCTCCGGGTCGTCTCCTCCTCCTCCTCCCCCCTCCCTCCTCCTCCTCCTCCCTCCTCCCTTCTTCTCCTTCCACCCCCCTCCCCCCCCTCCTCCTCTCCTCTCCTCCTCCTCCTCCTCCCTCCTCCTCCTCCTCCTCCTCCTCCTCCTTTTCCTCCTCCTTTTCCTCCTCCGCCTCCCTTTCCTCTTCCTCCTCCTCGTCCTCCTTTTCCCCCTCCTTCTTCTCCTCCTCCAACCAATATCGTTTCCGACCCTGGCAAGCAGAGTATAACACGAAGCCAGGGCTCCAGCTGCAAATGGGGTCGTTTCGGACCCAGGCAAGCAGAGTAAGCACATCGTTTCCCGTAGCCGCCCGTGTGGAGATGTTTCCATACAGTCGAGCATCTGATTCAGAAACCTCTTTCCGAAATTATGGCCAAGCGTTTTCAACCATTTTGAAGGACAACTGGCACAGTTTCTTGAGCACGATCGCCCCTCCAGCGTTCATAACAGAGACTGGCCCAGGTCTGCTTTAAGAAGCCTGGCAGGCAGAGTATATCCGCCACGCGCAGAAAAGGGGTAGGGGGAAGGGAGGCTTCTTAGAAACACACCCGCTTCTTAGAAGGCGCGGGTCTGATCTATAGATGTAGGGCAGGCGCCTTCTAAGAAGCTGTATCTGTCTATTAATTTGGGTAACCCAAAAGGGGGTCCAGCTGAAGGGGGTGGTGCAATAGATTTGGGGCAATTGTATTGCAAATGTATTGCGCTGGAGAATTGTATTGCATTGTATTGCAAGTCATGTATTGCATGCGAATGCATTTGCGCCCCGGAATGTATTGGACGCCCCAAATGTATTGCAACCCCACAAATCTGTTGCACCAAATCTATTGCACCACCCCCTTGTCGCTGAACCCCCTTTTGGGTCAACCCGAATTAAGCCATCCCCCTTCCCCCTACCCCTTTGTGCGCGCCGCCAACTGTAAGACGAAACCAGGGCGAGGATACAATCGGGCGAGGTTCCGGAACGCTCTGCGAGCGTTCTGGAACGCTCTGAAACGGGTTTATCCTGGTCCTAGCCCCGTCCGGGAGTAAGCACATCGTTTCCCAGAGTCGCCCATGCGCAGATGCTTACAAACTTCTTGGCGTAATGTCTGATACGTGCAATCCTTGTGCATGGAGCCGTCCAGTCTTGTATGAGGGATTCGGTTGGAAGATCCAAAGTTCACTGCGCAGGCGTAAATCTGATTGTAGCGCTGACGAGACCTCGGAAATGGAAGGCCTCCAGAATTTTGGAACAATTGGAGACAGGTGCCGCTATTCTCCGGACCTCTCCTGGGCTGGGGGGTGCGTTATGATGGCCAAGACCTCGAGGAGAATCCAGCCACCGTGGCGACGATGGCTCTCCAGGGCGAGCAGCTGTACAGCAGTACGGCCCACCCGTGGAATAGGGACGCACGAGAAGGATGCAAGGGGCCTTGGAAGGCCATGCTGGCACTTTGCGCGCGGGGCGCGGCCAGCGAAAGCGGCCAAGAGTGGGCCGGAGGGGGAGGAGGAGGAGGAGGAGGAGGAGGAGGAGGAGGAGGAGAAGGAGGAGGAGGAGGAGGAGGAGCAGGAGCAGGAGGAGGAGGAGGGGCAGGATGCAAGGGTTCACCTTTGAACGTCGCTCATCCTTCGGCGGTGGACAAGCCTCCCTTTAGCAAACCTCCCCTGACTGAAAGCGGCCTGGGGCCGAAACCGACAGACCTGGACCCGCAAAGTTGTTCATGCTTCGGCGGTGGACAAACCTACCTCCCTTTAGTAAACCTCCCCTTAGGGAAAGCGGCCTGGGACCGAAGCCGACGGACCTGGACCCGCAACAGATGACGGCCGCGACGCCCTCTCGCGAACCGAAAACGGCCAATTCCTGAATCGACGTGTCAGGGTAGGAGGTCTGTCCACCCCCGACTCCTTATGAGGCCAAGAGCGGGCCGAAGGGGCAGGATGCACGGGTTCACCTTGGAAAGTTGCCCATCCTTATGATCAGCGGTGGACAGACCTCCTTTAGTAAACCTCACCTTAGGGACGGACCTGGACCCGCAAAAAATTACGGCCGCGACGCCCCCTCGCGAACCGAAAACGGCCAATTCCTTAATCGACGTGCCAGGGTAGGAGGTCGATCCACCTCCGACATGAGGCGGGTTGATTGTATCGTCTCCCTCTTCCAACACGACCTCCGTGCCGCTGCTCCCTCGGCCCCGAGCGGCTGCTGCTCCGTCCGGGGCGAAACCCCAAAAGGCCCACGGAGCCTTCGGGGGCCGCCGTTGGTCTGAGGCCGGCGGCCCAAAGATGGGGGAGAAGTCGACCCTCCCGGAAGACGAGAAGGAGGAGGAGGAGGAGGAGGAGGAGGAGGAGGAGGAGCAGCACGAGCAGGAGGAGGAGGAGGAGGAGGAGCAGGAGCAGGAAAAGGAGGAGGAGGAGGAGGTGGAGGAGGAGGAGGTGGAGGAGGAGGATTTTTTGGTCACGATTGACCGAACCAGTTTCGATTGGGCCGCACAGCGGCCCGAAAGGACTGAGCGGAGAGAAGCAGGAGACCACAGCTCCCACCTCCCAAACGGGAAGGGGGCCTTGGCCAGCCGCCTCTCGACACGAGTCAGTCCGATCCCGATTCATGGTCATCTTCGACCGTGCCTGCGACCAGGGGAGCGTTGTCCTCCCCTTCCCGCAGGTTGTCCACTCGACAGAGCCTGGACCTGGGATCCGCTGGAGCGGAGGACGTCGCCGCATGGGGCGTGTCCCCGCTCTCAAACATAAAACGTGCAGCTTCATCCTCTGCTTCGAACATATCACCGACTGGCTTGGGGGCGGGCCTAGACGACCTCACCTCAGCCGAGGCCCGACGTGGTACTCCCCCACCCACTCCCCACTCCACCGCGCCCGCTTCCTTCGCAGCAATACGCGCACGCAGAGCCGCCAGCCTATCAGGGTAGCTGGCGTGAGCTGGAATACGCACAGGCCGACCAGCCTGCTCGTACGAATTAGCCTCTTCGAGGGTGAATGGAGCCTCGTGCTCCGCACATGTGGCCGTCAGCTCTTTCTTTGGGCGCAAACCTCTCCGCAACCTTCTGAGAGGCGTCGTTCCAGCGCTGCTCCTTTCCTCGTCTGTGCGAGGTTGCTGACAGCGCTTGACCAAATTGAAAAACATGTGCGGGGCGAAGTATCCGCACAACATACAAAACAAGAGTGGCTTCGACTGGCTGGCCACTTGAGTTGGGGCCAGCTGGTTGCCGTGCCGAAGGGACAAGGTCAAGAGCTCCTTCACCCTCGCAGGGAACCCAAAACAACCCGCATCGGGTCTCGCTTCCTTCCTTCCACTATAAAACTTCAAACAACGAATGCATCTAGAGCCCCATAACCAAGGCTCCCACGAATGCCAGCCACCATTCTTAGCAAACAGTTTGACAGGGCGCTCTTTCATCGGCGGTCGCTGGTGCTGGACCGTGGGAGGATCCCCGCAGCGAGGCGAGCTACTGTTGACCGCCTCAACCTCGGCGCCTGACGGCTGTGGGTGCAAACTGACCGCTGTCTTGGCTACCAGATCCGCCCGCCAATTACCCTGGCCTACCCACCTCTTTGGGGCAGGGAGCGCATCAATTACACTCAGCTCCCTACGCGCTGGGGTGAAAGCAATTAGGGCATACGTATTATTAACCATGTGCTGCAGCGCTCCCCTGCGAAGGCCCGAGTACTTGCGTTTGTGACTGAGCCGTTGAGGAGGAGCACTGGTGTGTAATCGTACAGCATTCATACAG